TATCTATCTATCTATCTATCTATCTATCTATCTATCTATCTATCTATTTGTAGAGCTTCTCTCTGGACCATGGAGCTCATCTATCAGCCCAGATCTTCCTGATTCCCGCTTGCTGGTTCTAGGTGTACAAGAGCATGCCAATATGTCTGACTTTTTGTTTTGTTTTTTTCTGAAACAGATCTCTATGTAAAGCTCTGGCTGTCCTGGAACTCACTCTGTAGAGCAGGCTGGCCTTGAACTCACAGAGATCCACCTGCCTCTGTCCTGGAAGTGCTGCAGTGAAAGCATTAGGCATTAAGCCTAGCTGTGTTTGATTTTTTTAAGTGGGTGTGTGTATTGTGGCAGGTACTTTACCGTCTGGCCCATTCCTTCCGACCAGGTAGGAAGTCTGTATCCCATTTCCACAGTACCTCAGGCATTCCTCCCAGGAACAAGAGAGCATGGTAGAAAAGGTGGCTGATCCTGTCAACTGATCTAATGACAGGTTTAAAAAAACAACAACAACAACAACAACAACAACTTGATATCACAGGTCTGGTTTCAAGGGTTGACAGGAAAGTCTAAGACGATTCCTAAAGAATTCTTTGCTCCATGAATCAAAGGCAACTTAATCCTTTCTAGAAAACTGATGTGGGGTTGGGGATTTAGCTCAGTAGTAGAGCGTTAGCCTAGCAAGTGTCAAGGCCCTGGGTTCGGTCCTCAGCTTTGGAAAAAAAGATAAAAGACTGATGTAAAAGTCCTTAGATTTAGGCTTCAGTGTGTTTTTTTCCTTATGCTCTTATAAAACAGATACCAGTGTTTGTGATTGGAGCTTCTGAGGTGCAGAGAGGAAAAATAAAGTTTGAGAAGCACTTGATTTTCAAAAGCCAGGAGAGCACTGAGAAATTGATGCAGAACTATTCTTTTAGAGACAGGGTTCTGACATATATAACGTGGGTGTCCCTTGGCCTCTCAACCTCTGTATCCCAGCCTCCTGAGTGTTGGGGTTATGGGAGTGTATCTGTGTGTTCCATGCTGGCGGCAGACTCATGATTCTCTTCCTAAACCTCATGAACCTCCTTCCTCCACGATGCTTCCTACCTTTGGGGATTACAGGTCTGGTTATAATTCTTTTTTTAAAGCTATGAATGCGTTTTATTGAAAAACGATCTGTAACATTACAAAGTAGCCAGGTGATGATGGCGCATGCCTTTGATCCAAGCACTTGGGAGGCAGAGGCAGGTGGATCTCTGTGAATGTGAGCCCAGCCTGGATTGCAGAGTGACTTCTAGGATGGCCAGGACTACACAGAAAAATCCTTCCTTGAATTCCTCCCTCCAAGAAAAAAATTTACAAAGTAGGAGAGAACACGATGTCCAACAGTAAGAAGGTTTTTTGTTTTGTTTTTTTCCAGACTGGGGTTCACTGTGTGCTCTGGCTGTCCTGGAACTCACTATGTACCAGGCTGGCCTCTAACTTACAGAAATCCACCTGCCTCTGTCTCCCTCTGGAGCGCTGGTATTAAAAGCATGTGCCATCACATCTGCCTGTCCACAGTAAGAATGATAAATCTACTATACTGAAGGCAAAAAATACTATACTCACTAAACTTAACAATCTGAAACCGCCTAGATGATTGTGTCCAACCTGTGGTCCACAGACCCAATGCAGGGTCTCACGTAACCCAGGGTGGCTTTGAACTCGTGTATCCAAGGTAGACTTTAAACTATATTCCTTCTGCCTTCACCTTCTCAGTAATAGCATTATAGGCACATGCCACCATGCTAAGTTCTATGTGGTGCCTGAGATGGAAGGCAGGGTCTACCAACTCATCTATAGACCCAAGTTCGGCAATTTTTTTTTTTTTTTCAGATAGGGTTTCTCTGTGTGGCCTTGGCTGTCCTGGACTCATTTTCTAGAGCAGGCAGGCCTCGAACTCACAGAGATCCACCTGCCTCTGTCTCCGAGTGCTGGGATTAAAGGCATGTGCTTTAGAAATGTATTTTAATTGCTATGTTTCCTTGACCTAGAATAGCAAATGGGACCTATTAGTCAATATGTTTGTTGTATGCATAAACACAAAATGAGTTTTGGCTAGGCCTGTAATCCCAGCACTCATGAAGCAGACCCAGGACTGTGAGTTCAAGGTCAGCCTGGGGTACATAATGAGATGTCACCTTTCCCACCAAAAAAAAAAAAAAAAAGGAGTTTGCAGGGTACATACTAAATAAGGATGATTAAATCAAGGAAGAGATGGTGAGCAAAGATTTTGCTTTGGATAATTTGACTCATGTACATTCTACCCCTTCTCTTTGTGTGTTTAATGAAATGCAACAGGACATAAGATGAAATGGATGACTGAACTGAGATTCAAAGTTAGTCTGAACCAAAACCATCTAGAGAAAACCAGGAAGGGATGGTAATAAAGCTCTGATTGATGAGGGGAAACGCCCCGAAAATTCAGGATATTGCTGGAGACCTTGATGAAATCCAGCCTACTCTGGATATGAGATGGTCTCTATCCGTAACCAGTCTTTCAGGTCTGGCCACACACACCCATTCTATGTTCACAAGTTGCAAAGGTCTTGGATACAATATATTCAGAAAGGTAAGGTTCCCCCCCCCAAAAAAAAAGGTAAAAGGAATCAAGAAGCTGTGGCAGGCAGCAAGGCAAACAGGAAAAAAAGAACTTTGAAGTCAGTGGCTAGAGATCAGACCTTTTTTCCCTCAAAGAGAACCTGTTTTTCAGAGGTGTCGAGAATAGTTCTCAGAGGCTCTGGGGACATCCAGACAAAGCAACACCCCACAGGGACCTTAGTGCTATGTTTGGAAACAGCTCTTCTCATTCCATGCCTGCCTAACATCAAAACAGTTCTTTATCCTCAAGGATTCGGGTGAAACAGTAATCACTGCCCCAACAGGGAGCATGTTCAGAGCTGTACACAGAGGCAGCAAGAGCAAGGGGCATGCACACAGCAGAATATAACTCAGGTGGGGACATCGTGTGACCGAGCAGTGGAAGATGCTGGGACCCAATGATGTGGCTGTAGAAAACTGTCACCAGTACGACACAGACACCGCGGTCTAGGGTACCTGCTGGGTTGTCAGGAGCCACTCCCGGGACACAGAAAAGCCCAGATTGCTTTGCACAGCCCAGTAATTCTCCTGCACCAGACTCAAGTCTTTATTTTCTGGCAAAAGTGCTAGAAAATTCCAGTTCATGTGTTGGGTGTGGTTGTGTAACCAGCCATCCCAACAACAGGAAGGCTGAGACAAGAGGTTCAAAAAAAAAGCTCAAGGCCAATAGGTTATAATGTAGTGGGACCTTCGTTTTGCTTGTTCGTTTGTTTTCTTTGGTTTGGTTTTAGAAAAGGTCTAGCTACGTAGCCCTGGCTGGCTTGGAATTCATTATGTAGACCAGGGTGGCCTCAGATTCAGAGTCCCGCCTCTGCCTCTTTACTGCTGGCATTAAAGGCGTGGGCCGCTATGCCCAGCTGAGATCTTGGTTCTAGCAAGAAAAACTTAAAAACAGAAAAAGAAAATAGCTTTTCTACTCATGGTCATGCAAGAAACTCGAATTAAAGTCAGCGGGTCACGACAAACAGCCCCACCCACAAGAATCAAATAAAGGTCATGAAGATAGGACGGGGAGCTGGGGAAATGAAGGGGGCCGGTAGGAGAGGGCTGAGAGTCGTCGGGGAATGACCTAGATTCATTGTCTACAGGTAGGAAACTGTCAAGTAATAATAAAAGCGGGAAGAAAGGGAGGGAGGAAGAGAGAGGAGAGGAAGACAGAAACACAAACGTTCAAAGAGAAATAGAAACCAACGAAGTAGGAAAAACAAAACACAACTTGCTGACCGAACGGAGCTCTCAACACAATTTCCGGCCTCCGGCAACTATTTCCGTCGAAAGTCGGTCTTATCGCGGACCCTGATGACGTCACGGGCGCGCCGGAAGTCTTGCGGAGTGCTCAGCTGGGGCCAGGTGGGAGCAGCTGACAGTTGGCGGGGCTCGGGGTAAGGCAGCTTCGGAAGGCTATGTGGCACCCCGGCTTGGCGGCAGCCGTCGGGACCCCATGTTGAGCCTCCCGGCTATGTGTAGGACCACAGTCCTCTCCGAGGCCCCGGCATCCCGCTTCCTGTGCGCTCCTCTCCCACCCGGCAGTAACTCCGGACGCAGACTCGGTCTCCCAGCCTGCTGCAGAACCTCCCTTGCCTCCTTTGAGCCTGATGCATCCCGGATCCGATCGTGGAATGGGCTCCATTTCACTACCGCCCTTCCCTGGTCCTATCACAGCTGCAGATTCTGTGACCACCAGTGTGCTAGGGCCTTGAATAATGAACGTATCCGGAAAGTATCCGTCAAGGGAAAACTACCCAGGACCTTACGTGGGCAACCTCACCCTGTGTCTGGACTGCGTTGTGGGCGCCCCAGAGATAGCCTAGTGACAGTGACAGCTATAGGGATGGCAGACCCGGAGCTATTGGACTTTAAGTTTTCTTCCCAGTTCAGCGGCGGTGCAGTATCCCTACTTCCAAATGCCCTTTGCAATGTGTTTCGCTGCTAACACTGTGTTAAGTGTTGCCCTTGTCTCTGCAGCCAGTTCCAGATTCCTGGAACAACCATGTCGCCAGCTATGCGTGTGCCAGATGCACAGCGCTGCTCAAGCGGAGCTGCTGTCTGAATTCTCCGTGAATGTGGCAAAGAGGAATGCATGCTGGAACAGTGCCAACAAAGAGAAATATGTGATCGGGAGACCTTCTGTTACCTTGTGAGAACGGCCTTTTGGTTTCCTCTTTTGTTAATAGTTTCTGGTTTGATTATCTGAGTTGGAATTCTGGCCCAGAATCCAGCCTGGTAAAGTTAATGCTACCATTTCCGTTTCTTATCTTTATGGTTGTGAATCTAGCCTTTAATGGCTAGATTCCCCCAATCTCCCCACTCCCCCATTTCCGTTTTTTTTTTTTTTTTTTTAAGATTTATTTATTTACTATTTATACATGTACATCTGCATGACAGAAGAGGGCACCAGATCTCATTACAGATGGTTGTGAGCCACCATGTGGTTGCTGGGAACTGAACTCGGGACCTCTGGAAGAGCAGCCAGTGCTCTTAACCTCTGAGCCATCTCTCCGGCTCCCCATTTTCGTTTCTTAACACAGGTCTTTGTATTTCGTTGTTCTGGTTCTCCTGGGTGATCGTGAAGTTGTGGCCACTGATCTGTTTATTATGCCTGACTCTGGGTGTGGGATCTTGACTACTCCCATTCTGATGAGGTCAGCAGATTCTTTGGGAGGATTTTGTCAGTATCTACATGAATATTTAAGGAAGTAAAAGAATTTGTTGCTGGGTGTGGGGGTACATCTCTGTAATCCCAATACTTGGAAAGCTGAGGCAGGAGAATTCTGAGTTCCAAGCTAGTCTGGGCTACATAGTGAGACCCACCTTGAGGACTCAAACTTGACCAGATCTTAAGTTAAAAAAAATAAAATAAAAGCCGAGTGGCTGGAAGATAGCTTGCCATGCAAGCGTGATCCCTGGCACCAACCAGTTGAGCATGGCTTGATGACTGTCACCCACGCCAAAAAATGGTGAGCTGCACAATTAGCAAGAGACTCTAAACCGTAAGGCAGTGGTTCTCAACTTTCCTAATGTTGCGACCCTTTAATATGGTTCCTCACGTTGTGATGGCCCCCAACCATAAAATCACTTTGTTTGCTACTTCATAATGGCAATTTTGCCACATTTATGAATCACAATGTCAATATCTGTGTTTCTGGATGGTCTTAGGTGACCCCTGTGAAAGGTCCTTTGATTTTTCCCCCAAGGGTGTCGTGACCCACCGGTGGAGAACTGTGATCTAAGGGAATATGATGAATGTTCATATTATATATGTGGTAGTACAGGTTTGTGAAACCCTAGGTTCATTTCTTAATACTGAATGGGAAAAAAGGAACCCATTTTCTTGAGGTTGTCTTGACCAATACTTTGGGATGGAGAGCTAGCTTAGTGAGAGAAGTGCTTTCTTTGCAGGCATGAAAACCAGAGTTCAAGTCCTCAGAACATATGTAGAAGCCTGATGTAGGAGTATGTATCTATGTAGTTCAGCTTTCCCACTGTGAGATAGGAGAATCCTCAGAAACACACAGGCCAGCTAGCCTGGTGGACACCACAGAGAACAAGCAAGAAAGACTGTCTCAAACAAGTTGGAAGTGAAGGACTACCACCAAGGTTGTCTCTGCCTGCCACATACATACTATGGCATGCATCCACCCACACTCAGACAAACACACACACCTTAATCCCAGCACTTAGGATGCAGAGGCAGGTGGGTCCCTGTTGAAGCCAGCCTGGTCTACATACAGAGACCCTATCTCAGACAACAAGGATAGAATCCAAGCCCCAGGGGTAAAGGCACCTGCTGCTAAGCCTGATGAACCTGAGTTTAATGCTCAGAACTCACATCGTAGAAGGAGAGAAAACTCCCAAAAGTTTTCCATGGCACACACACCGTGACACACACACACACACAGGAAAAGAAAGAAATAAAATGTAATTGAAAATAAAGTGGAGCGTGACGAGGAAGATACCGTATGTCACACTCTGGTTTGAGCACATGTAAACATGTCCATGCACACCTGTAGACATGTGCACACGCATGTATTTGAACACACAGCTCACACAGAAACTAACGAAAGAAAGGTGTTTGTTGCCCCTGAGGCAGAACACAGCATCATCTTGAGGAAAGACTAGTGCTCAGCCATCTGGGTGTGACTCTAAGTGCAGGAGGGAACCAGGGCTCGGGGTACATGCTGGGGATAAGCTGCAGTTACTCATGCTGTCTCTTCCTTTGCAGCCTCCAGCATGGACTTCCTGGTTCTCTTCTTGCTCTACCTGGCCTTCTTATTGATTGGTGTTGTCACGATCTGCATCTTCACAAAAAACCAGCGTTTGAAAGGCCTGGTCCTTCGAGGAGCACAGGTAGCAATGATCCTTGGATACTGCTGAAGTTTGAATACTGTACTAGATCCTGAAGGGCCCACTGGACCTGCTGTTGTGAGTCTTCTCTTTAATCCCAGCACTTGGGAGGCTGAGATAGGAGGAGTGAGAGTTCAAGGCCAGCTGGGGCTACATGGCAAGCTCCTATGTCCAAACAAACAAAAAGTAATCTGTTTTGTTTGTTTGTTTGTTTGTTTGTTTGAGATAGGGTTTTTCTGTGTAGCTTTGGCTGTCCTGGACTCGCTTTGTAGAGCAGACTGTCCTCAACCTCACAGAGATCCACCTGCCTCTGCCTCCAGAGTGCTGGGATTACAGGTGTGTGCCACTGTGCCTGGCAAAATAGGCTGAATTTTCAAAGTTGGCTTTTTTTTTTCAAAGATTTATTTCTTTATTTTACATATGAGTGCTCTATTTTGCATGTACATCTACAGGCCAGAAGAGGGCGCCAGATCTTATTATAGATGGTTGTGAGCTACCATGTGGTTGCTGGGAATTGATCTCAGTCCTCTGGAAGAGCAGACAGTGCTTTTAACCTCTGAGCCATCTCTCTAGCCCCAAGGTTGGCTTATTAAACAGTGTGTAATGTCTGTAGTTGGGCATGAATGCAAATAGTGTTTGCCTACACATGCTTGCAGCAGACGGGACATGGAGCCAGGAGGAGAAGGAGGACATATGACAGAAGGCTGAGCCATCTGTCTTCATTTGACATCAGGCCATCCATTCCTTTGGGGGTCATAGCAAAATGGGGGCAAGTAGCCATGAAGAAATTGATGTGGGAGGAGTCTGGGGATTGGAAGTGGATCTTGAACATGGAATAGGTACAAGCCAGGATAAGGAAGAGGCAGCTGGCGCAGCAGCCTCCCCAGACTCTGATGGATGCCTTCTTTTCTGTCAAGGAGGAAAGGAGAAGTTGTCTACACTTCCTAAAACCTAGCATGTAGAAAGCTGAGACAGGAGGATTACGAATTCCAGGCTGAGGGGATGGCGGAGGGTTAGGTGGTTAGCGTGCTGGCCGTGCAGCCAGAAGGACTAGTGTGCAGATCCCCAGAGCGCACATAGACGCTGGCTGGGATGGCGGCCAGCCTGTGAGCTCAGTTCTGGGAGGCAATGACAAGAGATCCACAGGGCAAGCTGGCTGGCTAGACTAGCCAAAGAGGCGAGCTCTGGATTCAAGTGAGACACCCTGTGTTGATGCCTAAGGTGGGAGCAATCAGGGAAGACATCTGACACCAGCCTCTGACCATGTGCAGGTGTGCATGTGTGGACATGAACATACTGTGCACACATGCACCACAAAAAAGTGAAAGTTGGCCTGAAAGAATGTGTGGTAGAAGCAAGCCCTCTTTCTTCTCTTGAATTGCTTCTCTGCCATGAAGAAGCAATGCCTAGAATGACCGCCATAGCCAGCTTCGTGTGGACAATCGGTTTCTGTGGGAGTGAGGGGATGAGAAGTGAAGCTGCCCCTTCTCCTGTGATTCCAGGTATGCTCCTGCATAATCCCGCAACGCCTCCAGAGGGCCGGGCAGAGGCTTCTCCATCAACTCTTCCACACACGGTATTCAGTCTGGGTCATTAACTGTTGCCATTCCACAGCTTCTGGAAGAGCCTGTAGTTTCTGGCATAGCGAGGGGAAGGATGCTGGGAGTTTTGAGGGTGCTGGCTTTGGAATCTCTCCTCGTAGATCATTTATTGATTCTCATTTATGGGCTCTCATTTATTGGTTGGCTGCGGTGCGAGGGACTGAGCCACTGAATCATGACTGGCAATCTCTCTCCCTAATCACTGAACCATATCCCCAGACCAACAGAGCTGCTTCGTTTTCTTGCAGCAGGGCCTTATTCCACAGCCCAGGCTGGCTTGGAACTGATGACATAGACCAGACTGGCCACAAATTCACGCCCGTCCTAGCCTGAGCCTCCTAAGCGCTGGGACAATAGTCACGAGTTGCTGTGCCTATGGCCATCATGTCCACTTTCAAGTAAAGGTGCTTAAAAAATAAGAAAGTATTCTTAAATATAAATAATTCCAAAATGTGCTTCTGATTTTAATTTAATTATTATTTAAAAAATTTATTTTACATGTATGTGCCTGAGTGTATGTGCACCACATGGGTTAGGAGCTGGTGGAGGTCAGAAAAGGGCACTAGTTTGCCTAGAACTAGAGTTACAGATAGCGTGAACCACTCTGGGCGCTGAACTGAACTGTGAGAGCAGCAAATTCTCTTAGCCGCTGAACCAACCATCTTGCCAGCCCCAATTACTGCTGCTACTATAATAGACCCACTGCTACTGCTGCCACTGTAGACAGGGCCTACTGTGTGCCTCTGGCCAGCCTAGAACTTTCTATGTAAAACTCACAGAGATCTGCCTGCCTCCGCTGGAATTAAAGGTGTGCACCAGCATGCCTAGCTCTTATTTTGTTTATGAAACAGAGCCTTACTATGTAGCCATGGCTATCCTGGTACTTGCTGTTTAGCGTAGGCTGGCCCCAAACTCAGGGCAAACCTGGCTTAGCTCTGAAGTGCTGGGGTTGCAGGCATGTGCTACCATTTTGGGCCCTGATTTAACTCTAACAGGAAGTGGCTGGCCTGGGTCATGTTGCTTGGATGCATATGACTTCTTCCCGGAGTGGCCCATGCATGAGCTCGTGTGCTTTCTTCCAGCAACCCCACCTTCATTGTCTTGCACCTGCTCTTGCAAGCGCTAGTTTACGCCGAGTACACCTGGGAAATCTTTGGCTACTGCCAGGAGCTGGAGTTCTCTCCGCCTTGCCTTCTGCTGCCCTATGTGCTGCTGAGCGTGAACCTGGTGTTCTTCACCCTGACGTGCTCCTCCAACCCTGGTAAGTCAGGGGCCAGGCTAGTAACAGCTCTAGCCCTGTGACGATGTTGTCTCTGGTAAGTAGCTGTTCTCTAGAAGATGGCAGAAGAGCCCCTTGGGTACATTTTCACTGTCTTTCAGTTTTGAGTGTTTTCCAATTTTAGCTCTGGTCTTTGATCCATGGGTTATATAAACTTCGTAATATACACATTAGTGTGAGACCTTCTAATGTACATTGTTTATTCTGAGGCAGAACTTTGCTCTGTGTCTTGGGCCAATCTTGAACCCTGTTAGCTTCCTACCTCCAAAATTCTGGGATCACAGACATGTGCCACCATACTAGCTTCAAGACACTCTTTAGTGCTTGGAACTTTCATTCAATTGCGTATGGCCATGTAGAGCTGTGGTCAGGATACTGCAGCTTCCTTTTTATCTTTAATTATGTGTCTTTTCTGTGTGTGTGAGAGAGAGAGAGAGCGAGAGAGAGAGAGAGAGAGAGAGAGAGAGAGAGAGATGTTCATGTACATGTGGAGGCCACAGGGTAACATTGAGTGTCATTCCTTAAGCACTGTCCACTCCTCACCTTTTTCTCCCTCTCTCTGGTCTGAACCCGTCTTGTAGGTTGGGCCAGGGCTTTCCTTGTCTCTTTCTCCCTAGTGCTGGATTTTGGGCTTGCATCATTATGTCTACTTTGTTTGTTTCTGAGACAGGGTCTCTCAGTGTAGCCCTGGCTGTCCTGGAACTTGCTCTGTAGACCAGGCTGGCCTCAAACTCAGAGGTCCACCTGCCTCTGCCTCCTGAGTGCTGGGATTAAACATGTGCACCACAACACCCAACCTTTTTTTTTTTTTTCCCCTTTGATGATTACAGGTTACCATGCCCTGCTTGGTAAATAGTTTTTGAAATAAAAAAAATTAAAAAAAAAGTTTTTTTTTAATTCTTTATTAATTACACTTTATGCACTTTGTATCCCCCCTGTGGTTCCCTCCCTCCTCCCATCCCAACCCCTCCCTTCCTCCACCCTCTGCATGCATGCCCCTCCCCAAGTCCACTGATAGGGGAGGTCTTCCTTTCCTTCCTTCTGACCCTAGTCAATTAGGTCTCATCAGGAGAGGCTGCATTCTTCTGTGGCCTGGTAATGCTGCTCCCCCCTCAGGGGGAGGTAATTAAAGAGCAGGCCAATCAGTTCATGTCAGAGACAGTCCCTGTTCCTATTACAATGGAACACACTTGGATACTGAACTGCCATGGGAAAAAAATTTTTCTACCCTTGGAACACCAAATATTTATTAAGTAATGGGTGAATGTCATAAACACGCTGTCTTAGTCACTGTTTTCTTGCTGTGACAAAACACCATGGCAACTTAGAAAGAAAACATTTAATTTGGGGTCCATAGTTCCATGCCCATCATGTCTGGGAGCAGGAAGGCGGGCAGGCAGGCAGGAAGCAGGTGGGCAGCCACGCTGGAGCAGTAGCTGAGAGCTTCGCCTGACCCATAGGCCTGAGGCAGAGAGAACCATAACTAGGAATGGCATGGGCTTTTGCAACCTCAAAGCCACTCGCAGTGACACACCCCCTCCAAGGCCACACTCCTGTTCCTTCCCAAAGTGGCCTACCTACCAGCTGGGAACCGTTTATTTAACCTATGAGCCTATGGGGCTCATTCGAAGCACCATCCATAACTGGTGGGATATTATTCCGCTAAAGAAACAGATAGGGCACTGTGTATGTAGCTCACTGAAGAGTGGCTGAGCAGTGTGTGAATTTCTGGTTTCAATCTCCAGTACCACAAAACAAAACAAAAAAGATGATAAAGTACATATTCACGCTACAACATGGATGAACCATGAAATGCTCTGCTGGATGTAAGCCAGAAGATTATATTGCTGCAGGTTATATTGCTCCATTTCTAATAATTTTTTGTCTCCCTTGTAATGATGCTGGGGATAGAACTTAGGGCCCGCTGAATGACTGCCAAGTGCTTGGCCACCGTACTCCTTCCCAGCCACAGGGATCCATTTCTGTGAGTGTTAGAGAGGGGTTGAGGTGCCTGTTTGGAACAGTGCTTTCTAGGGGTGATGCAGTGTTCCGGCATCAACTGTGCTGACAGCTGCACAGCTCCATCGCCCTGTCAGCCACGGACCTGAGCATGCCTTAAATTGTCCCACATCCATAATTTCAGCATTTGGGAGGCTAGAGCAGAAGGATTGCTTCAAGTTCTGGGCAGCTTGGGCCACAGGGTGAAACTCTTAAGAAACCAAATAAAGGGCCAGTGAGATGGTTCAGTGGGTAAAGGTACCTGTTGCGGAGCCAAGCCTGGCAACTCAATTTGATCCCTAAAACCCACGGACAGATTGAGGAGAGAAATGACTCCGCACAGTTGTTCTCTGGCCGTCACAGCTGCTGTAGACACATGATACACTCAAACACATACTGAATAAATAAAGATGTGAACTGGAGCCCCGAGTTACCTCTCTTCAGTGAGTAAGGGGCTGGTGGTGCTGTGTCGGTGAAGTGCTCGCTCAGGAAGCAGAGGACCCTAGCCCGGTCTCCAGAACATGTAAAGAAGCTGGGAGCCAGTGCAGCCCCTCTCACCCGCACCCTCAGGGCTGGGGCGCAGATAGGAGGAGTCCTGGAGGGTTCAACCAGCCAGCAGGGCCTAATGCACACACCGCAGCATGCTGAGCTCCGAGTGAATGAGAATCTGCCTCAAAAAAAAAAAAGTTGGCTAACAACATTGGAGTTGACCTCCACCTTCAACACATGCGTACACTTACGGAGCCTACACACACACACACACCCACACACACCACACACACGTACATCCCAAACATAAACACTGCAGAAAAGAAAGTAAATTTCCTAAAATCTTAGACACAGCAGTTTTAGCTGCCGTGTGCTGGTCTGGGTTTGGTGGGCCCGGCCGACCTGACTGTGAAGAACTGACGTTCGTCCTTTCTCTCCTCAGGCACTGTCACTAAAACCAATGAGTCATCGCTTCTGCAAGTCTATGAATTCGATGATGTGATGTTTCTAAAGAACTCCAGATGCTCCACTTGCGACTTAAGGAAGCCAGCCCGGTCCAAGCACTGCAGTGAGTACAGCTCCCGGGGCCCTGCAGCCACCCCCCCCACACACACATGGTCTGTCTACAGGGGAATGCTGGCAGAGCAAACACACCAGGCTCCACGTTGGCATCCTCCAGGGTTCCCAACAGCTGACCCCAGTACTAAAACATTTCTTTCACCCAGCCACACTGACCTAGCAGCTGGAATGATGGGCTGAAATGGGGGTCAGAGGTTGTAGGATGTACAGCTAATGAGTGCCAAGGCCTGGGTTCATCCCCAATGCCAGAAAAAAAGGAATAGACTAAGACTCTGTCCACATTGAACTCAAGAGTTTTGCAGAAGTCAAAACCCACTAAGTCTGTTAATGTCCAGAAAGGTTTTTTTTTGTCAGATTTTTCTTGTCCACTTGGCGCTCAGCCTTCAGTCCCTTTTTAAATACGTGTGCACGCGCTCACTTGTGTGTGGGGTGACATGTGGCATGTGCGCATGGAGGCGAGGCCGATGTCAGGCCTCTTCTTCAGTTGCTCTTCATCTTATATGTCATGTCGATGCTTGGTCTCCTTCTTGAACCAGCACTCAGCAGGCAGGGCAGCCGCTGGCTCAGGGCATCCTGCTCTTCTGCCTGTGAGATTTCAGGGAGGATGCCAAACCAAGCCTCCCCGGCATCTGTCTGCGCTAGGGCTCAGAACCCATCACGCTTGCATAGCAAGCGTTCTTAACTTGGGAGCCATCTTCCAGCCTCTCACACTGCAGCTCTAGAAGCTTGGTGACAACAGCTGCCCTGCCCCCACACCGTCAGGGTCAGTCTGTAAAAATCTCCGCGAGCTCACACGGACACAGCCACACCGTGCTCCTTTCCCGCAGGGGTGTGTGAGCGGTGTGTGCACCGTTTTGATCATCACTGTGTTTGGGTGAACAACTGCATTGGGGCCTGGAACACCAGCTACTTCCTCGTCTACCTCTTGACACTGACTGCGTCTGCCGCCACCATAGCCATTGTGAGTGCTGCCTTTCTGGTCCGCCTAGTGGCATTGTCGGGTCTGTGCCAGGGAACTTACATTGACGACCTTGGGCATTTCCAGTCTATGGACACCATCTTTCTTATTCAGGTAATTTTGCATTGGGTCCCAGGGAGACATAAAGCTACTCTTTAATTCTTTAAAAAATGTTTACATTATTTTTATTAATTCTTTGAGATTTCATACATGCGTATGGTATATTTTGCTCCTCCTAACTTTATGTCTTGTCTTCCTTCCTTCCTTCCTTCCCTCCTTCCTTCCTTCCTTCCTTCCTTCCTTCCTTCCTTCCTTTCTCTCTCTCTCTCTCTTTCTTTCTTTTCTGTCTTTTTTTCTTTTCCTTTTATTAAACCCATGAGGTCCAGTTTGTGCTGCCTGTATGCTCATAGGTGTGAGGTCATTCACTGGATCCTGGTCAACCTTCCAGGAGTCATACCCTTACAGAGAATTGACCGACCCTCTCCCAAGAGCCATTACCCATCTACAGCTCCTTAGTTAGGAGTGGGGCTTTGCTGGGATGTTGCCCAGCTGGACCTTGTACTAGGAATTCTGCATGACACTGTCTAACTCCGACCCGCCTTGTCCTCTGGCCCTTATGGTCTTTCTGCCCCACATCTATGATTGTCCCCGGGCCTTGGTGAGTATTGGTGTGTAAGAGAGAGGTGGAGACAGAAAGACAGAGACAGACAGACAGATATAATGTTCTGTCCAGTTTATGCTGAGCACTCCCCTGACACTCTGCACTTTGACCAGTTGCCTGCATTAGCCAGTGTCCACTGTGCAAAGACTTTTCTCTGATGAGGGCTGAGATCTGCACTAACCTATGGGTAGAGAGATACAACTTTAGAGGGTAGTTTGATATTCTGTTCATTTAGTAAAATGATAGCAGTAGGTTCAGCCCTGGGGCCATTGAACCCTTGGGTTCTTGGTCTCCTCCTCCTCCTCTTCTTCATCCCTGACTGGCTGGGCTAGAACTTGATATGTAGATCAGGCTAGTCTTTGAACTCATAGAGTTCTGAGATTAAAAGTGTGTGTCATTACACCTAGCTAACATACGGGTTTTAAATTAATATAGCTTAATTTATTTATTGTGACAGACTTTGTGTATGTCACTCTGGCTTTGAAGTTTTGATCCTCTTGCTTCCCGTTCTGGGTGCTGAAATAACTGTTTACCAGTATGCCTGGTTTATGCAGAGCGGGGGTCAAACTCAGGGCTTTGTGTACTAACAATTCTGAAACTTTGGTTTCTTAAAAAAAACAAACACAAAAATAAGCCAGGCAGGGTGGCTCATGCCTTTAATCCCAGTACTCAGGAGGCAGAGGCAGGGGGATCTCTGTGAGTCTGAGGCCAGGCTGGTCTGCAGCGTGAGTTTCAGGACAGCTAGGGCTGTTACACAGAGAAACCTTGTCTCAAAAAACCAAAAATAGAAAAGAAAGGAAATATTCTAAGAATGTTCTTTTGTTTTAAGCCCAGGTGTGGGGATGTGGGGCTGCCTCGGCCTGTCTGCAGCAGCTGACTGTGACTTGCCTTTTGCTCTAGCAGCTTTCCTTATGCCCCCACTGTCGCTGTGCCACACTCCCGTAAGACGCTGTGAGCCCCGAGCCGCACCTTTCTCACCAGCGCTACTGCACAGTCTGACTTGATTTGTAATTGCTCCTTGAGTGCCTGAGCGTGACTGACCCAGAGCTTTGCTCTTCCTTGTGCACGCTCATTTAATTCATGATTGTTTTGTTTTGTGACAAGGTCTCTGTAACTTGGGCTTGCCTGACACTTGTCATCCCTGTTTCCACCTTCCATCATGCAGGAGGAGAGGGCTGGAGGGGCCAGCGCCACTGTCAGCGCCCTGTGCTGGTGTTCTCGTGCTCAGAGGCAGTGGTTTGCCTTGCAGGACTTCAGACTAATACACTGTGTGTCTCCACTTACTGTCTTGTAAACAGCAGACTGGCAAAATGCTGTGTGGAGTGGCCTTTTTGCCTGGGTGAACACCGCAGATAGCCTGCAGGAAGCTCTTGCACATACTAGGATTAGGCCTGGGGCTGGCTGTCTGTGTTGAATATGACTCACATCTATGTTAAAAGGTCAAATTTGCTTTCGTGTGCACATGTGTATGTGAGACAGAGAGAGACCGAGATACAGCGATAGAAGGGGAGTTTTGAACCCAGGGCCTCACGAATGCTCAGAATGCTACGGCATTGCTGCACCTCTGAACTGTATGTGCTGCCTGATGGGTCAGATTTGATGCGCGGGGGGTGTGGGGGGTGAACTGAGTGGTGGCTCTGCGCCATCGCACAGGGTCAGGGCTGGTGACAGAGGCGTCACAGTCTGTTTGCTAACACTGGTGTTTTTCTGCCCCCAGTATCTGTTCCTGGCCTTTCCACGGATTGTCTTCCTGCTGGGCTTTGTCATGGTACTGAGCTTGCTCCTGGCCGGCTACCTGTGCTTTGCTCTGTACCTGGCTGCCACCAACCAGACCACAAATGAGTGGTGTAGAGGTGACTGGGCCTGGAGCCAGCACTGCCCTCTGGTGGCCTGGGCCCTATCGGCCACGCCCCACGTTTACCAGAACGTTCACTCCCGAGGGGTTTGGAGCAACCTTCGAGAGGTCTTTCTACCCGCCACCCCCTGTCCTGAGAAAAAGAGGAACTAGAATGGGAGGTGTTCCTGTCTTCTGAATACAGTACATATCACTGCTTGTGCTGGTTTCTGCTGTGTGAGTGAGAGTGGGCTGCTCCTGGGGAATCGGAAGGGAAGCAAGGCTTGCTGAGTTCCAGTATTTCCCAGGACCATGGCAGATTCCCCTCCTGTTTACGTTCTGCTAGAACTAGTAACATCTGAGGTCCTAGTGTTGGGCTGAGGGTGGGGGTCAAGAGATGGCCTGTTGTTTATTGTACTTGTGGACCACACTCAAGCCCTTTCTGCTCTGTTTAAAAACTCCAGTCTTCGATGGGCGGCAGTGGTGTGCCCTTTAATCCTAGCGCTCCGGAGACAGAGGCAAGTGAATCTTTGAGTTCGAGGCCATCCTGATCTACACAGGATGGCCAGTGCTACACTGAGAAACCCTGTTTCAAAAAACCAAAACCAAAACCAAACCCCAATCTTAACTACCAGCTAGTTCAGGGCAAAGTATAAATGATTGCCCATTGATTGTATAACAGTCCTGGAGTGGGAGTTGGGGTGTTGTAGGGTGGGAGAGTTTTCAGGAGCACGAAGAATGTGGGCTGGACCCTGTACTAGGATTCCCATAGTCCTTTTGGACTAAGCTAGAGCATAGCAGTTAAGAGGTGTCAGGACTCAGGGGAGAGATTGAAAATAGGGGCCCTGGAACAGAGGGTAGGAGTTGGGCGTTGAGTGTGGAGGTGCTTACCAGCATCACCTGCCCCCGCTCGCCCCCGGGGAACATGCCCTGGTTGGTGGGGAGCACGAGAACGCTTGAATATATGGTGCAGGCTCAGGACACTTCTGAGAAACTCTTGACAAGACGCGGGGCGGGGCCTCGTGCCCTCGTGCTTGCCCGTGCGGGCCTCACCGCCAGGGGGCGCCCACGAGAGCGCGCGGCCGCGTCCCGAGCTTGGCCCCTGCGGGCCGCCGTCGCCACTCCGGGATTCCGCCGCCGGTTCGGCCGAGCGGCGTCGGCTCCCGCGGCTCTGGGCGGCGCCGCGGTCGGACCCAGGGCGCCCGCTGGCCCGTGGCGGCGGCGGCGGCGGCGACGATGGTCCCCTGAGCGGGCCGGCGCCTGGTAGCGGCGGGCGGGCGGACGCCGCGGCCCTGCCCGCGTCGGGGCCCAGCCTGGTCGCGCCTCTTTGTCTCCGGGCGGAAGTGGGACGCGCGGCGGGGACGCGGCGGCCGCACCATGAGCGACATCCGCCACTCGCTGCTGCGGCGCGACGCGCTGAGCGCCGCCAAGGAGGTGCTGTACCACCTGGACATCTACTTCAGCAGTCAGCTGCAGAGCGCGCCGCTGCCCATCGTGGACAAGGGCCCCGTGGAGCTGCTGGAGGAGTTCGTGTTCCAGGTGCCCAAGGAGCGCGGCGCGCAGCCCAAGGTGCCCGCCCCGACCGTGCCCTCGCTCGGTGACAAGCGCCCGCCCCGAGGTCTCGCTCCCCCTGCAGTTCCCGCCCCTGCGGTCCAGCGGCGTTGCTCAGCCGCGTGCCCGTTTCGAAGGCTTCTGACAGTCGCCCGTCAGTGATCCAGGCGGTGACTTTGGGTGACTGGCTACTGGAGCCCTCTGGGATGTTGCCTAACTAGATGCACGGCTTTCTCTCGTGCTTACCCGTAGGGTTAAGCCCCTGAGGCTTAGGCTTCAGAAAGGTGAAAACGAACACTCTTGGAAAAAGATTCTGGGTTTGTTCTTAAGACGCTGTCTCACTGTGTACTATGTACCTCAGGCCAGCCTGGAACCCAAGATCTTCAAGCCTCAGCCTCCTGAGTGCTGGGATTTCAGGCATCCACTCCCCCAACCCTTTACTGTGGGAGCTAAGCGGCAGGTGCAGGCCCTCATCTCTCACAGCTTCTCTCCCGGGCTTGTTTTTACAGAGACTGAATTCGCTCCAGGAGCTCCAGCTTCTTGAAATCATGTGCAGTTATTTCCAGGAGCAAAGCAAGGACTCTGTGCGGCAGATCATTTTCTCGTCCCTTTTCAGCCCTCAAGGGAACAAAGCTGACGACAGCCGGATGAGCTTGTTGGGAAAGCTGGTGTCCATGGCCGTGGCTGTGTGTCGGATCCCCGTGTTGGAATGTGCGGCCTCCTGGCTCCAGGTAGGAAGCCAGCTCTAGAAAGATTTACTTCCCAGAGTCTCCATAGACAGGATTACAAGAGTTTGGATGTAACTGGATGTCTGTAGAAGTCTTTTACACACGCATGATGTCATCGATCATTGCTGTCCAGTCCAGTTTTGTTTTTTTTTTTTTTTAATAGAGAATAACAATTTTTTTGTTTGGTCGGGTTTTTTTGAAACAGGGATTTGGTATGTAGCCTCGGCTGTATTCAAACCTCATGATCCTTCTGTCTGAGCCTTTGAGGATTGTAGGCACTGTGGGCCTAGCTTGGGAATTAGAGCCTTTTCATGCACATTTATGTAGTAAATGGTTAGGGTTTGTTTGTTTTGTTTTGAAACTGTCTGATTATGTAGCCCTGACTGTCCTGGAACTCAAAATGTCGACTAGGCAGGCCTGGAACTCATGGAGGCCAACCTGCTTCTGCCTCCTGAGTGCTTGGGATAAAAGGAATGTGCCACCACAAACCAGCTTATTTAAAAACTTTTACTTATTATTATTATGCATGTACTTTGTGTGTGTGTGGTTGCCTGTGCCACAACAGATCCATAGAGGTCAGAGGACAACTTTTGTGAAGTCAGTTCACTCCTTTCACCTTTTTTTTTTTTTTTCCTGTTGTTGGAGACATAGTTTCTCTGTGTACCCTTGGCTGGCCTGGGACTCACTCTGTAGATGAGGCTGGCCTCAGAGATCTTCCTGCCTCTGCCTCCAAAGAGCTGGGATTAAAGGCGTATACCACAATGCCCACCTGACTAGATTACATTTTTTTAATAAAGAAAAAAAGGCCTTCAGAATAAATGAAAAATCTCTTTCTTGGGCAAAATGATTAGATTTTTAAAAACAGTATGCAGAGGAAAGAGAGATGGCTTAGTAGTTAAGAGCACATACTACTCATACAAAGGACCCGAATCCAGTTGCTAACACCTGGGTAGGGCAACTTACAACTGCCTGTAACTCCAGCTCCAGGGATCCATCACTCTTCTGACTCTCATGCACCTACTCACACAGATACACAGGTATGCTCACCATTAAAAAAAAAAAAAAAAAAAAAAGTTTAGCTTAGGTTAGCCAAAAACTCAAGATCCTTTTGCCTCAGGCTTCCTAGTGCTGAAATTAAGGCATGGACAACTATGTCCAGCTGTGACAAACATTTCATCATTCACAGACTTTTCCAAACCTCAAAGTGGCAGTAATGGTTAGTTTTGGTGTGTGCTGTCTTACAGAAATTGTCATTTCCTCAGCAGTGGTGATCTTACCAAAGCCACCTCTCCACAAAGACCTGCAGAAGGCTTATGTAAATACTCCACCCGTGTTGGAAGGCCTCACCTCTGCTGGCTAGTGTGGGGGCAGCGTGGGCTAGCAGGCCCAGTGGAGCTGTGCACACATGTGTGGGAGGTGGGCTGGCCCCATGGGCCTTACATGGCGGAGCCGTTGCTCTAATGGGTTCTGTTAGCAGACCTCCCCAGAACCCCAAGATGGCTCCATCCAGTCAGGTGGCCTTCACTGTGTATGTGCAGCTCTTACCTGCTAGCTCGGGACCCCTCAGTGACTTGGCCTGTGGCTTCTTCCCAGCGGACGCCTGTGGTCTACTGCGTGAGGCTGGCCAGGGCCCTTGTGGATGACTACTGCTGTTTGGTGCCAGGCTCTGTCCAGACGCTAAAGCAGATCTTCAGTGCCAGTCCCCGCTTCTGCTGCCAATTCATCACGTCCGTGACCGCGCTCTACGACCTGTCATCAGGTAGGTGCCGAGCGAGCGAGCAGGCTGTTCTGTCAGAGCGGCTTCTGGAGAGCGCCAGCTTTGTGTGTTTATCTTTGAGCAGTGCTGCGAGTGGAGCCGGGCCTGTGCGCATGCTGGGCAAGCTTCCTACCTGGAGCTGCACCCCATGCACCAGTGACGACACTGGCTTCTGTTCTGCTGTGTGTGTGTGTTCGTGCGTGTGCGCGCGCGCATGCATTGCAAGTGTGTGTCACGTGTGCGGTGCCCACAGCGGCCAGAAGAAGAGTCAGATCCCTCTGAGCTGGAGTTACGATTGTCCCATCGTGGGCACTGCACTCAGGTCCTAAAGGAAGTGACCTTCAGACCTTTGCGTTGGCTCTTTGTAATTTCAAAGTGGGCATCTTTGTTGTGGGCCTAAGCCTGAGGGTGTGTTGTCAAGCTCGTTTCCGTTTGCTGAAAGGGACCTCCTGTAATTCTTCCCAGTTGCTTGGGTCTTAAGGGTGGAAATCAGAGCGTGAAAAGCCAGAGGTTGAGGCTGATAGCTAGCTCCTTCTCCATAGACATATGACCTGCCTCCCCCCAGGAGTCATTTTTAATTATGTACGTGTGTGTGTGTGTGTGTGTGTGTGTGTGTGTGTGTGTGTGTGAAAGTACAGGTAAGTATGGTGCCCAAGAAGGCCAGAAGAGGGAGTCAGGTCCCTTGAAGCTGAAGTCATAGGCAGTTGTTAGCTGCCCAGTGTGGGAGCTGGAAACCAAACCCAACTCCTCTGGAAGAGCACCAAGTGCTCCGCCCGTACACTCACTCACTCATTCATTCATTCATTCATTCATTCATTCATTCATTCATTCATTCATTCATTCATATTTAAGGTTTCTTTTCTTTTTCCTCCTCCCCATCTTATTCTTTTTTCCCTCTTATTCTCCTTCCCCTTCACCTCTTCCTTCCCTCTTCCTCTTCTGTTTTCTTCTCCGATGTGTGGATGTTTTGCCTGTATGTATATCTGCCTCCCATGCATGCCTGGTGCCCATGGGTGTTAGATTCCCTAGGACTATAATTACAGACAGTTGTGAGCTACATGGGGGTGCTGGGAAATTGAACCCAGGTCTTCTGGAAGGACAGCTATGAAATACACGCCATAGAAGAGGCAGATGTGGAAGGGCGTGTCGTTTACCCTGTTCCCGAGAACCTGTCCATGGAGGAG